AGCTGGAGTCACTGACCTTCTTCCGCCCTCACCTCCCGCACATCGTGCTGTTGAGTTGCTTCCATCTCCATCAGCACACACCAGACATCTGCTGGTCCTTTACGTCCAGACATCACACACTCTAGGATGTTCCATTCCCCCTGCACATATTTGACAATGGGTTGCTCTGTCCTGTGTTCTCAGGTGACCATTGTGACCCTAATGTGACACCCATTGCCCTGTCTGTATTGCACATTTTTTTGACACTGAAAGCAGAGCAGTGATCTGTCACCTCCCAAATCCCAACTCACACAGCACAGAATGCTAATAGATGCTTAAGAGTTAGTAGGACAGTGAGTGACTGAATGAATGTATGGAAAATGGCCCCAACCTTCTGAGTCTCCTGAACACCAGACACCACTTCTAGCATTTGTGGCAGAGTATTCTGCCTCCCACAAGGGGCCTCTGCCTCTTAACTCTTACCTCTGAGTTCCTGTCTTTGTGCTCTATTCTTGCTTAAATTCACTTCGTGGTCCTTTTGTTGACCTTATAATACACATAGGAGTACTGGACCAGGCTGTCTCCAGGCTCTTGACTCAACCATGGCTAGCTCACTAGACTTCCAGTACACCTCGGAAGCTGCTTCCTGCCCCAGGACCTTGGCAAGTCAAATTTTCTGCCTGGGTCACTTCCCCTCAGGTCTGACTAGCTAGTACCATTCTTTGTCAGTATAGTTGGCAGCGCTCCCCCCGCCCCGCCCCTGCCACTCCCTCCCGCGTGCCCCGTCTGAGTTAATCACCCTACTTGGAGCACTCTGCCGCACCCTCACCCCACCCCATCCCCGGTGTGCCTTTTTTAAAACACAAAAGTCTCAGAGTCCAGGCTGGCCTCAATCTCAGCTTACAGCCCAGGATGACCTTGAACACCTTCCATTTCCCAAGAGTTGGTTGGAATTACTGGAGCGCACCACTATACCTAGTTTATGCAGTACTGGAGATGTAACCCACGGCTTGCGTTAGGAAAGCACTCTATGAACGGAGCTACAGCCCCAGCGGGCCTCTACATTTCTACGTGTCATTTACTGGGTAGGTACATGATTCTGTGATTAATGACCGTCTCGTGTACAAGATGCAAACTCACTGAGGACTCCAGGGACCCTATTTTACCTCGAGCACAAGGCCTAGCGGTTACGCAAACACACATAAAATTTCCAGAAATGGATGAATGGATGCGCCTGCGTTTATGTCCCCTCCTCCCTAGCACCGCCTTCTGTACCCATTACCTGGTACACAGTAGGTGCTTAATAAGCCCTTGTCGAAAGATGAATGAAAAAGTGAGCTAAATGTCAGCGCACCCCTCCCTTGGCCTTTGCCTTCTGCGGGCCTGTCTCTTTATACAGAACATGTGTATATATAGTTGTAGATGTAACTCTATATTCATGTGTTATGAGCCCCTCTCCAGGAGTTGGGCTGGGCTGGGCTGGGAGTCCCTCCCTTCCCTCCCCCCCGCCCCGCCCCCACATGCACACAGCAAAACATTTAAAAAGAAAACATCTCAAAACTGCAAAAAACACCACGGCCCTCCCTCCCTCCCCTGAAATTCCCCCCACACAAAAATAAAACACAGCGCTCCCACGCCTGAGCCCCTTTTCCTGTCCCGTCCCCCTCCCCAAGGGTCCCTGCTTCAGAGCGTGTCGGGGGTAGAGGGTGTGCAGGGGCGCGGGGAGGGGCTGGAAGGCCCAGCGGTGTCCAGCGCGCTCGCGGGGATAGAGCTGGGGGGCACCCCGATCCGGCGGCCTTGTTGCACGCGCGCCCGCGCACGCGCCCCGG